ATTCAGATTATATTGATATAATAGATGAAATAGAGAATATAGAACAAGTTGTTATAACTAATAATAGATGTAAAAAAATATGTTATTTTGTTTTAGAATTAATTAAGTTTGTCATACAATATATCAAAAATAAAAATGTGAATATTAATATAAATGGGAAAAAAGAAAAAGAACAAGACTGAACCAGTTGTTTCTTCGACTGATGAAGAAATTGTTAAAGAAACATCGGTTATTGAGTTTGCTTGTCCAATGTGTAAAAAAATCTTAGAAATGAAGAATGAATTAGAAATACAAAAGAAAGGAAACTGTAAATGTTCGTGTATTCCAACCAGTTTCAAAATTAGTAAAAATGATAAGAAAATGAATATTGATAAAACTAAAGACAGTATAAACTTAGAAACAGATGTTCATAATATTGCTATCAAATGGGGACGGCATGCCTCACCATCCGATAATGGTGATAAGGAAACTCAGGAAACTATACGCGAAATGATGAAAAAATAATAGTTAAAATTATTTCTATTATTATTTATAATGCAAGATGTTATAAATAATATTATTAAATTCATTGATGTAAAAGAATTGAAATTAAATAATTTTATTGAAGAATATAACGAAAATGATATATTAATTAATTTTGTTAATGACTTTAGAAATAGCAAAATTGATTTTAACATGTTTTATAATTCTATTAATTATGCTGATTTATTTGAACAATCAGATTTAAAATTCTATTGTAAAAGAATATATTCATATACTTTAAGATTTATTGCTAATTATGATAATAAAAATGCTATTCAGTTTTATGAAATTACATTGAGAAAAATGAATAATATTTACAAAAATAGTAACATTAATGTTGTTAATGTGTTTGAATGTATTAAATGTTTAATAATTTATATTACAGATAATATTGAAAAGTTTCATAAATATTCAAAATTTAGAAAAACTATTATTTGTAATTTAATTGGTAAATTGAATAATAATTTAACGAGTTACACAATAACTAATTTTGAATTGACTTATAATGATATATGATTTCGTAAATAAAAGTTTAGTTTTAAAAGTTTAGTTTTATAATTTAGTATATATTTACATGGATGAAGGATTAGAAAAGATTGTCAAAAAACTGAACAAGGTTTTAGAACAGAATAAGAATATTTTAGAAATCTTGCAAGAAATGGAAAAGAAGAAACCAGTAACAAACAGTTATCAAAGTAAAGAAGTAGATAGAACCAATGGCGAATATAAAAATACGAAACAAGTGTATTTAAACAAACTCAACAACAAAGAGATAAAAGAGCCGAAGTCCTCCACTATGGCATTTTATCAAATTGACTATGATGAGGAAACGCAACTTTATTCATAAAGTTACATTTACTCATTGAAAACTAAACATAGTTTAGTTTTTAACAAGGAAACAGGGATTTTTATTCATAGGTAATATTATCTAAATATCTTTAATAATGAACTTATTAGAGATGTTTAGTGGGACAGGCAGTGTTGCCGGTCGCATTCTGTGCTGATACCTTGCTGGGTTCAAAAGAAAACCCCTAATGATAGGTGGCAAGCCCCCTAATGATAGGTGGCAAGCCCCCTAATGATAGGTGGCAAGCCCCCTAATGATAGGTGGCAAGCCCCCTAATGATAGGTGGTAATTAGCAATCCCCCTAATATTAGGTGGCAAGCCCCCTAATGATAGGTGGCAATTAGCAATCCCCCTAATATTAGGTTGCAATCCCTAATTTTGATTGAATTTGGACAAAAAAATAAATAAATAATAATACGGTGTATGTATATTATGTTGTTATAATATAAATTAACATTGTAAAATCTTATATGTTATAATTATATTAAACTTATGGTTTGTTTCTTATTTTTCTTAATGCCTTAAAAATGACTTAAAGAAATAGTGCCTTAATATATTAAGATAGAAATGAACGGTGATAAAATCAATAATTATATCAATAAAAAATGCTATGATTGTTGTCACTTCAAAAAAGAAAATATGGAATTGTATAAATTGAATTTACCTAATGAAACAGTGAATAATATTATTAATTATTCAATGGATGAAAAAGTCGAATGTGAAAATTGCCAGGAATGGAGAGATAATCAATTTTTAATCAAATGTCTGTTGAGAATAAAAGGAAGACATAATAGAAATGTAGAAGATGAGATTTTAATATTTCTAACTGTAAATAAAATACCACCTTATGATTATGTTAAACAGTTTCTTAAAATCAGTAAGAAAAATATGACATGATTTATGATATATTATGGATGTTGGGATATAGTCAAGAGAAAGGAGAAGATGTTAAAGAAAATATCAAATTATTTATTGAAAGTAAAAAGTTTAATATTCAAAATACATTGAGAGATATTAATATTATTTTTAAAATGATGTATGAAAGAAGAAAGATTTGTCAATTAAATTATTATCCTGTACTGAAATTATAATCATACTATAATAATAACATGTAAAATCTTATATGTTATAATTATACTGTACTTATAGTTTGTAAAGATTGAAATATTTTATTTTTTCTTGATTTGGCTGACTCTTTCAAAGTGCGTTGTTTGAACTTGGCATGCTCTTTTGATTTTTTCGTGCTTTGGCTGTTTGTATTTTATTTTGTTTGATACTCTTCTGATATTTTTTGTTGGTATGTTGCTTTGTTTTTTGTTGATGTGTGTGTTTGAGTTTGTGTTCTTTGATGGTTTTTATTTTTGCTGTTTTGTTGGTATGCTTGTTTGAATTATTTAATGTTGTATGCTTTGATTAAATATTTTGTTGGGGGTTGTTCTGGTTTTTGAGTTGCTTGGTGGTTCTTATCTTGTTTTCTGTGAATTTTGCTGATTTTGTTGTATGCTGTTTGATTTTTTGGGTTTGATGTTAGAAGTGCCATTTTATGTATTTTTCCCCCGCCCCCCCCCCCCCGGCTGCGTTTTAGGTGCTTTACAAAAATCCTCACTTGTACCATGAGGCCTTGCCGCAGAGGAACTGATGACCCCCGGCTGTTTTTTTTTGTTGGCCCTTTTTGAATCATCACTTCTTCAATCATCATGGGGGGGGGGGGCCCCCCAACCCCCCCGCTATTTGTTGGACTTTTTGCCCCTAATTGAATCATCACTTGTTCGATCATCATGCGACCGCTCCTTTTTAGATTCTTTGCCCTTAATTTTTTGATCATCATGGGGGGGGCTGCCGCCCCCCCCAACCCCCCCGCTATTTTTTAGACTTTTTGCCCCTGATTGAATCATCACTTTTTCGATCTACAGGGATTAGTTTGCCCGTATTTGAATCCTCACTTGTACCATGAGGCCTTGCCGTAGTGGAACTGTTCACCCCCCCCCGCTGCTTTTTATATATATTTTTTGGCCCTAACTACGTTTTAGGTGTTTTACAGGGATTAGTTTGCCCGTATTTGAATCCTCACTTGTACCATGAGGCCTTGCCGCAGAGGAACTGATGACCCCCCGCTGCTTTTTTATATATATTTTTTGTCCCTAATTGAATCATCACTTTTTCAATCATCGTGGGGGGGGCTGCCGCCCCCCCCAACCCCCCCGCTATTTTTTGGACTTTTTGCCCCTATTTGAATCATCACTTTTTCGTCATCATGCGACCGCTACTTTTTAGATTCTTTGCCCCTAATTGTTCGATCATCATGGGGGGGGCGGCGGCAGCCCCCCCCCCAACCCCACTTGTACCATGAGGGCTTGGCGCAGAGGCACTGATGCCCCCCCCGCTGCTTGTTTTTTAATATTTTTGTTGGCCCTAATTGAATCATCACTTTTTCGATCATCGTGGGGGGGGCTGCCGCCCCCCCCCCCAACCCCCCGCTATTTTTTGGACTTTTTGCCCCTGATGGAATCATCACTTTTTCGATCTGCAGGGATTAGTTTGCCCGTATTTGAACCCTCACTTGTACCATGAGGCCTCGGCGCAGAGGCACTGATGCCACCCCCGCTGCTTTTTTTTTATATTTGGTTTGCCCTAATTGAATCATCACTTTTTCAATCATCGTGGGGGCCCCCAACCCCCCCGCTATTTTTTGGACTTTTTGCCCCTATTTGAATCATCACTTTTTCGATCATCATGCGACCGCTACTTTTTAGATTCTTTGCCCCTAATTGTTCGATCATCATGGGGGGGCTGCCGCCCCCCCCAACCCCCCCGCTATTTTTGGACTCTTTGCCCCTGATTGAATCATCACTTTTTCGATCATCATGGGGGGGCTGCCGCCCGCCCCAACACCCCCGCGCCTCCAGTTGAATCATTACTTTTTCAATCGTCATGGGGGGGGGCATCATGGGGGGGCTGCCGCCCCCCCCAACCCCAATTTGCTGGTGATGCTGGCGATGTTGGCTGGACATGCGGGGGATGTTGAAAACGATGCTGATGATGTTGACGGACTAGCGTAAAATACGTACATTTCGCGAGAAAATGCTGTAAATTACAGCATTTTAGTAGCCAGGACGGAAAACAAAAAAAAATCCTAAAATAGAACAAACAAAATTCCCAAATTAAATCTCGACCCGTTTACAATCAAGGTACACACACACACGGCCCGCTCGGTGTGAGGGGTGTGGGGGCAACTACACTCACAAAAGAACGCGTCAAAGCGCTTGCCTGTCACTTTGCCTCTCGTTTGAGTTCACAGCTACCAGTCTCCAATGAGGGGACCGGGCTGCCAGCCTCCAAAACTTTTGACATGGGCAGCCAAACCTTGGCAGCATACTGCGGGATCGCAGCGACGCGGGCGGACGACGACATTACAAGTAAGAACCCTGCGCAGGAATGTGGGGTAAAACAGGCACAGTTGCTGCGGGCAAACAAGAGGCAACTGATACTCCAGGTTTTCAAGTTTGAAAGGGAGAGAACCCAAGTTTCTCTTGCTGCTGCTCAGCACGGCATGAGGGAAGACCCTTGTAAACCATCCAACTGGTGGTTTCCTTTAAAGGGGACCCCTGGCCTAGTTCCCTGCCATCTTAAGGTCGTGGCCAGCGTTATGTCCTGTCCTCCGGGAACGATGGCAGGCGCGGAGTCAAATGAGTGTTTCCAAAGATGGGGCACGGGCCGCCCCCGTTGGGTGTTTATTTTTTCTGGGCACCCTTTTTGAGAGCGGCTTAAAGGGGACGTCAAAAGGACACCACTCATTTGTTTGGCTCCCATATATTGAGACAGCTCCATATGAAACATGTCGAGTCCTAGAATCATGGGGGGGGGGGGCGGGCGGGTAAATGTTCACCACAGCCATTGTCCTTTTCAGGTCAGCTGAGTTGAAGTTTGATCGCACTGTTTTCAGCTTGGTTCCAATCGTTTATCGGTGCCATCATGGTTTTTTGCCAAAGGACACCTGGGCGCCAGAGGGACCGACCCCTCAGATGGTGATTTCAGAGGACGTCAGAAGGAGTCCAGCCATTTTGGGTCCAAGAGGAATCCATCCATTTTGACGGCCCCTCAGGTTAGTCATGCCCTTATAACATATAGCCCTGTCAAGCTGCACAGGGCTCCTTAAAAGATACGTTTTGCAACCATTTGAAACATGTTGCTTTTTCCACCAAAATAAAGGGACACCACCATTTACAGGGCAATGTTCAGGTGTATAATGTAAGGATCCCTGCTGCATACTGAACTGTTGCCAGCATTTGTGATCAATACTTGGGAGCCTCTTTCTAGACGGTCTTTATAGTGAAACCAGAAGGAACCAGCACACGCTTGAGGGTCCTTATTTCAAGAAAACTGATTTCGGCATCTCCCGTTTAGGGGTGAGAATGCTGGGACATTGGCTCCCGGGTCACTACCCTCAAAGAGCAAATCTGAAAAAACAACTCTACCAATGGAAAACCTTGACTGCCCAGAACAACCCTGGCATTGCAAGTTAGGTCTCATGGGTACGTGTGGCTTGGCAGTGTGGTCATTACACATGGACCACGGACCTCACATACCTGGCAGGGGAACATGCCCATGCTACCCTCAACCGCAAGGGAAGCCGCAGAATCCCCGTAATTTGCAGTCTTTTCCCATGGTTTTGCTGGCAAGTGTGGTTGCTTTACTTGTGCCACTCGCAATGTGTGGTATTTTCCCACGGATTTGTGTTTGAGTGGTTGCTTCGCTGGCAATCAGGGCATCCGTGCCTTCGCCAGGACGCGGCTATGGGATGTCCGCATGGGCCGAGAGGCCACGCACCCGGTTGGGTCGAAATTAGCCGATTTGGTCCGTTTGGGAGGGATGAGAAGGGGGAACTCACTAAGTTTTAATCGCAAGAACCAGCTGAAATTGGTCCAACTATAAGGGGACTCACTAGATTTTTCCATGGCCAGTAGGGTAACAGAACAAGTCTGGCGGTGGCTACGTTTTGATGCAGGGCGAAGTCCGGATCCGTTTTTTTCCTCTTCTTCTTCTAGGGCTGTTTTTTCTTCGTTCTTTTCTTCTAGGGCTGGTCCCTGGTTGGTTGAATGGTTGGTTGGTTGTTTGGTGGGTGGGTGGGTGGGTGAGTGGGTTGGCTGGCCACATCCCCGGCATCACCAGCCTCACTTGGCCCTGGGGCCGCCTATTTTCATGGCAGCTGGGTGCTGGTTTAAGTTAGGGGGGTTTTGGCTGGCTTAGATCTTCATGAGGGTGGGTCTTGGGGTGGTTTGGGGTTGATTTAAACGAAGCGAAGGGCTGACATCCGGGCTGCTGTTGGGCGGGTTTAGGGTTGACTTTGAGTTGGTTTGGAGCTGATTTGTGCTATGTGTGGTTAAGAGAGTTTTGGATCAGCTTTGAAGCGTGGCCAACCCATTAGCCGCTGTGCACCAACAGCACACACAGCACAAATCAGCTCCAAACCAACCCAAACCCACTCAAAGTCAACCCTAAACCCGCCCAACAGCAGCCCGGATGTCAGCCCTTCGCTTCGCCTAAATCAACCCCAAACCACCCCAAGACCCACCCTGATGAAGATCCAAGCCAGCCAGCCAACAGCCCCCACTTAAACCAGCCCCAGCAACTCCCAACTCCCACCACCCAAGTCAATAGACAACCCCAGGTCCAAGTGATGCTGGTGATGCTGGGGATGTTGCGAGCATTGCGGAACCAGCCCTAGACCAGCCCTAGACCAGCCCCAGCAAAAAACACACACACACGGTTACCGCGAAGTCCGAACAGGCGATTGGATTCCTTGGCAGATCTGACACGATACTATTCAGCTGTTCGCTCAAAGGGCACGGAGGAACTTCTTCTTTTTGGGGAACTATTTGGATTTGTTTCCATCTTCGGGCGCCCTCTTTGGGACTCCCACACCGGTCTCTTGGAGCGATCGTTCCAATCCTGTTCCTCTGTGTCGTTAGAAATCCAAAAATGTCTCTTGGAACGATTGTTTCAATCTTATTCCCCCGTGTTGTTAGGAAATTAAAAGTATTTTTGGAGCGATTGTTTCAATCCTGTTGCCCCGTATCGATAGAAAATTTGAAACTTTCTTTTTGGAGCGATTGTTTCAATCCTGTTCCCCCGTGTGGTTAGCAATTCAAAGGTGTCTCTTAAAGTAGCCCCGTGTCGTTCACAAATTAAACATGTCTCTTGCAGCGATTGTTTCAATCTTATTCGCCCGTGTTGTTAGGAAATTAAAAGTATTTTTGGAGCAATTGTTTCAATCCTGTTGCCCCGTATCGATAGACAATTTGAAACTTTCTTTTTGGAGCGATTGTTTCAATCCTGTTCCCCTGTGTGGTTAGCAATTCAAAGGTGTCTCTTAAAGCGATTGTTTCCATCGTAGCCCCGTGTCGTTCACAAGTTAAACATGTCTCTTGCAGCGATTGTTTCAATCTTATTCCCCCGTGTTGTTAGGAAATTAAAAGTATATTTGGAGCGATTGTTTCAATCCTGTTGCCCCGTATCGATAGAAAATTTGAAACTTTCTTTTTGGAGCGATTGTTTCAATCCTGTTCCCCCGTGTGGTTAGCAATTCAAATGTGTCTCTTAAAGCGATTGTTTCCATCGTAGCCCCGTGTCGTTCACAAATTAAAAATGTCTCTTGAAAGAAATTGTTTCAATCTTATTCGCCCGTGTTGTTAGGAAATCAAACGTATTCTTGGAGCGATTGTTTCAATCCTGTTGCCCCGTATCGATAGAAAATTTGAAACTTTGTTTTTGGAGCGATTGTTTCAATCCTGTTCCCCTGTGTGGTTAGCAATTCAAATGTGTCTCTCAAAGCGATTGTTTCCATCGTAGCCCCGTTTCGTTCACAAATTTAAAGTGTCTCTTGCAGCGATTGTTTCAATCCTGTTCCCCCCTGTCATAAAAAAAAAAAAAAAAAACAAAAAAAAAACAAAAACATGATACAATAGTTTTTTGTTGGGGGAGGGGGGGCGTGCAACGAAAAGTGGGATTTGCTGTGGTTGCCAACTCCAAGAAGGACAAAAAGGGTTGGTTTCCATTTTGTTTCCCTGTGGTTTCCCTTTAAAACCTGTTGGTGTTTTTCTTGAATCCAACCAGGTGCGGTATTTCGGTGCATCGAATGTCCAGAGGTCTTCTGCATGGGCTTCGGCCCCCGCTCGGCGGACTTTAGCACGGCGTCCTTCCTCAACGGAGAGAGGCCGGGCGTTTGCCGTTTTCAGAGAGGTAAGGGAAACCGAAATGAAAATCACCATTTGCTGGGTTTCCCTATTTTGGCACCTACCCATTTGCGGGCCATGGTCATGGTTCTCTCATCTTTTCTTTTTGGGGGGTGGGGGCAATAGAGCTCTATTGCTACCCCTTGTTGCGTGGGCAAGAAGGATATTTAGTTGTTTTCCCTGGAGGTATTCCAGTTTCCTTTCCTGAAAAAGGCGATGTGCTTTCCCGAAACCCTTATTAGAGAAAGCCCCCCCCCCAGGCCAAAGGGCTACTTTGCTACCTGCGCTCCAGCAGCTCGCTGGCGAGTTTGCAGTTGGACCGAGGTACATTGCGGCGGCCAACAGCAACGTTCGTCTCAGCGACGTGAGCTTTTTCGACTCTACCACAGGCCATGCAGACATGGGCATGGGGGAAAGTTGAATGCTTGCTTGAATCAGACCCATTGCTGTTGATGACACCCAATGCAGCTTTAAGGTTGTATATAGGATGAAGGATGGGGGTCAGGCTCCACGGCTGGGCCACGCTCAACCGTCTTCAAATCAGGGTTACAAGGCAACTGCTGTGCGGCTTTCTGTGTTGGATCAGCTGCGTCTCCAGCTGCCCCAGCACCCGCGTAGGGAACAAGCTCTCTCTCCCCTCTCTCTGCGTGTATATATTATATATAATCACATACACACATTAATATGGTATACACGTTAAAGCAACAAGAAGAAACAACCCAGCCCTGGACTCACTACTGGCATACTGAATTGAGCTCAGACCAGGGTCTCCTGTCTTCATGAAGCTCGGCGTGCACAATGTCCCGGTGCACGCGCTGGAGACTTCGCCTGTGGACAAGCGGGGGGCCCGAGCCGAAAGAGTGCAGCCGCAGAGCAGCAAATGGATCGCCTTTGAAGCCCCAAGCTCGGCCTCAAACAAAGACAAATAGATGGGGATGAGCTTTATGACAGGGACTCGGAATTTTGTCGTATCGTTTGGCAATGAGTGGGTCCACCAACTCCCTTTTTGAGTACGTTCCCCATATAAAGAACAGCCAGAAGACATGAGGCGAACCGCATGACAAACCGGATTGTGCCAGCTGGGGAGGCAATGAATGTCGACGGTGGCTCATTTGGAGATCCCCAAAATGATGCGTTGGGGTGTGCCATACTCTAAGCATACCTGCTTCCTTGGGGGTGGGGATATAGTATCATTGTTTGGCACGACATCGAGCACGAGGCTTCCTATTCAAGGAGCCATTCCAAGGGTTGAGATGCCCATGGTTCTCCGCTCAAATCTTTCGGGGGGGGGTGGGGGCATGGCAAGTGAACCATGCCGGCTGTTGGGATCTGCTGAGCCAGGTTCTGTCCCGCCCCGTGCGAGGCCCTTTTAGAACCCTCCGAAGAATGTACAGGCTTTCTGGCCCAAGCCAAACCAAATGTAGCGGGGTGGCAGACAAACTCCTTGTGTTTTTGTAACTTCTATGTTGGGGCGATCTTAGACAGGCGAATTTGAAAGGGAACATGGTCTATGACATGCAACAAGTGCGAACCACGTCACCATGCCTTTGGCTGGATGATCTCGCCGTCTCACAATATGACAAAGCTTCGCTTAGGACCATCATGACTGGCTGTGATGATGAGAGAGCGCGGTACTTCAGCATCGAGGAGCGATTTAACTTCACCCATGGGGCCCGCTTTTCGGCAGGTTTCCCTTCAAAGCAACCAGCAAAAGGGTACCAGCTCCAAAAAAACGAGACTTCCTCAAAGTCGCAGGAGCGATGACTGGGGTGTGGCAGTGCGGCGCGCGCTCGCAGCCGCCGGCACGTTGTGGTATGGGCAAAGAAAAATTGAGCCATGGAGCAGTCGCTGCATCGGATTCAGACCAGCCACGATCAAAACCCGGGCAAGTGAGGGTTCGAAAGGGGCTGTCCCGTCCAGAAATAGAAGCAGACGATGATTTGATTCTTCACATTACCAGACTTGGATTGTGACTTATATGTGTCTTGGTCAACCCGGCCTTTCCTCGGGCTTAGGGTGGATTGTCATCAACCCCATTGTCAGAAATTTCGTGAAGGGAACTCTGACCGTGACCCATGTAGGGGATTTGACACATGTGATTGATTAGATCTCAATCCAGCCTCTCCTACCAGAGTTTTTCACGGCAAACTGCTGAGATCAGTTCGCATTTTGATTGATCCCTCCAGTTTGCAGATTGGGGTCTGGCTCATGAGGCGAGGTACATGGGTATATCTCGCCTTCACCGCCTGGCATCACCAACGACGGCTGCACACAGAACAAAACATTGGTGTTTTGGTCATCGTATTGCCTTTGCCTGGGTGTTTGAATCTCCACGCATTTGTGCCCCCCCGACAGCTTCTGCCGCAGATATTTGGCTTGGATCAAGCTCGATGGACTAGAGGCGTGGACGCAGGACTCTGGACTTGAGGGTTCATCACATGCCAGGCCAATGGAGCTCACGAGCCATGACGGTGTGTTCTTCAATTGCCTTTGCGAACATACGAAACACATTTTCATAGATGGGTAGTCAGTATACTCATTTGAGGGTTCGTCCACATTGAAGCTTCACAAGCTCAGATTTGTTCACTGTCTTGAGAAGCTCTCACATACAGGAATTCGGTGGTGCACCCTCCGCCGGGAAAGACTCTGATGCCAGACCGCCTCTCATGGCGCTTGCAGGTCGCGAGCAACTAATGCCGAAGAGCTCGCGCAGCTGATGGTCCAGTTGAACGCACAGGGACGACAATCTGAGCATTTGACTACTGGGCTGCTGAAGGACTATCCAGCCCATGTGGGTCTGTTCAGTTAAATGGTGCAAAATGCAAAGATGCCAGTGCAGGGCAGGGCGTGTGCATTTGTCTGGGACACCAGACAGTTGGCAAAGCAGAGCCTTCTTGCACCTGATATAACGGCCTGGCGGCTCTGTGACACGCTGCGGGCGCACTGCAGTTGCAACGCTTTAAGCCAACTGCCGCGAAGCTGCGCGGCCTTGCTGTGCGATCTTGCAGCGCGGGGCTAGCTCAGGCTGAAGTGAGCTGAAATGGCTTCGCATCACCCTTCAGTTGCACACTCTGCAGATCGGAGCAGCTCATTGTGAGCAGATGCAGACAACCTTTTGTGGTTCGTTCGCTCGCGCGGACCTTGAATTACGACTTCACGCGTGCCACACTGCTGAATGAACCAACTGCCTTTGGGCCTGCAATGATGCAATTTTCTCCAAACAGGACAGGGTTGGGGCCGTGTGGTACTAAGCGCCCGACGCGGCGAAGAAAAGCACCAGGTCTGGTTTTGGACCCGTCGCTCGCCAAAAAAGAAGAAGAAGGTTTTCCAACCATACCCCCGCGCCGGTAGAAAAGCAGAATGGAAGCTTTACAAGACCGGAATTGTCTGCACCAGTTCCATCTAAAAGTTGCGGTAGTTTGTGAGAACCTCCTTGCTTTCGGCTTTCATGGGCCCGTCGGATTTGCACCGCAGGACATCGGCTCGCGCTTCGCAGAAAGCGCCCTCCTTGCCCAGGCAGGTGGGGTGCCAACTGCATATTGGTTGGCGCAGGCCAGGTGGGTTGTTTTTCTAGGTGCCCCAGCTAGGGGCCCTTTTTAATCCTTTTTTGGTTGGGAGGGTTCCCCTACTAAAATAGACTACAGAAAAAAGTTGGTACCCTTATTCTATCAGAGGAGCAGAAGCAGAGACTCATAGAAGAAGTGAGAAAAGTCTTTGAGGAGAAGGGTGTTGATCAGACGGGTTATGACTTCGCTCTTAACGTAAAGACGCTCCAAAGAAACAAGTTGAACGCCGGTCCGATGAAGACCTATCTTCTGATTCATCTACTGGAGGACCTAGTCTTGTTCTCCCTTTCTTGCGATATATTCCCGCAGCGATACTCTATTGAGTATATGGTCTAAGCCCTTGCGGATTGTACAGCAATACATGACTTGCCGAGGCTAATTAATGCACAGGGCAGTCCTACATTGCTTCAAGGGACTAATAAAAGTATAAAATGGTACCACCCCCTCTTTTGGTGGTTTGAACACCTTTTGTTTGCCATTTCAAGAGAGGTTTTTGTTCATTGGAGTGTCTGAAGGTGCCATACAAAGAAGCCCCCTTTTGCTTTGGAGGTGTGGGCTTTAGAGGTATGGAGATGTACCACTTATGTTAAGGGGTCTACACTGGTTTACAAAGATTATACTGGCGTATTGGTGTTTGTTGGAATTCATAGCTCCAAAACCCATACCTTTTAAAACTCCTTGAGTTCTCCATGGCCAATGCCGATGTGTTTGGTCAGTGGTTCATAAACTCCCCCAATCCTTCCTCAGGTCCCCGTTCCCCCTGAAGTCCCTCTGCCCCGGAGTGGTGTAGGTCCATCACTTTGGCAGTTTTGTTCATCAGCGGTCAACATCCGAATTGTCAGGCAACCCCTACCCCTACTTTGTGCTTTGGGGATGACAGAACGTCTGGTTCTTGTGGGTAAATGGGACGCCGCTTCCGACCCACCTGAGGGCACATGGGAAATTAGTGTTGGTCGCCCAACGGTTTTCGGTGGCACCGGCGTTGCGCAGATCAGTGCCACTCTGCTTGCCTCTTTCGTGGAGGAAATGATTCACAGCCCTGGGCTCAGTCTTGGCCAGTCGTGGCCAGCTCCGGGCTTTGGTTCGTGGATTGTTGTAACCTTCCAGTGGCTTAAGAATATTCTTGATTTTCCCTTGTTGGCTTTTGAAGGAATCTATCAGAATCCAATCACTACTGGACATATGCCTATTTGTTCCAGTGGCCTCAAGCAAATGGAAGTAAACATGCTTGGTTGAGTCAAGCGTTGTTTTACACAAACTCGCGTAACCTGCACCTGTCTTGCTTTCTTCTTTACGTTTAGACGGGTCGAATGGTACAATGCAGTTTGCAACTAACCAATGCTCGAAGGAAGTCAGTAACAGGTGAACTCAATGGGGGAACTACCTCGACATATGCCATGTGTTTGGTGGGCCAAGACGTCGGGTGGATTGTTTTTTCTCTTCTCGTGATTGCGTGTGGGCGAAACTCGGCGTTGGCTAGGAAGCCAGAAACTTCAAGCTATACTTCGCACAAAGCCTTTTTCAAAAGTAGCCTTGTACAAGAAGCCCTTTACAATAAGTACTGCGGGTGCAATTGCAATACAGTTGCGATCCAAAACCAGCAAGTTGCACAAGGAGCCCTTTGTAAAGTAACATGGGCCGCACTTGACTTGGCCATGTCCACGACCCTGTGATCCGCGAAGCGTCGTGCCATTTGGGCCAAAGCCATGCCGCATCCCCAACCCCCGGCCATGTTCACATGGGTGTCAAAATAGCGGGACCCCAAAAATGGGGGGGGTCCCTTTAAACCAACCTCCAAGAGGTACCGTCAACAAATGCACAGGGTGTAGTGTGCTTTTTGGCTGAAGCCTGAACGTGGTTCGCCGCTTCCCACTTGCCACTTTCATGTTTTCCCTAGGAGGGGGCACACAAAGCTAAGGCCAACGAGTATCCCACCAGCGCCCGCCCAGTGCCCGCCCAGCACCCACCCACCCAACCAACCCACCCACCCACCCACCCACCCCCCCACCCAACCACCCACACCCACCTAACCACCCACCCAACCAACCACTTTTCAACCCCTCCAAAGCCGGCTGCTTTCCTTTTAGCTTGCCCGGCCTGAGCCGCTTCCTTCGCCATGGATCGCCGCGCTTCGGCGGTCTCCGGCGCCATGGATCCGATGGATCCGCGGCGAGCGAAGGGCCGCAGCAAGCGGGAGCTGGCGCGGTGCATCGAGTGCTTCGGCACCAGCTTCCGCGCGGAGGGGCACATCCAGGACCGGGGTGTTTTTGGGGGTTGTGTTGGGGGGGCCATCGCGTTTTTTTTTTTGGTGGCCTCGTGTTTGATGTTTTTGGGGTGGGAATCCCAAGAGGATGGTGGAAAACTGGTTGACCAAGGCCCAACTTTGGCGAAACTCTCGCACGCTTTTGGAGACAAATTGTTGACGCAGACAAGCTTCGTTCCCGCAAAAGGAGAAAACAACAGGAGGTTGCTTAAACAATAGTGGCCAATGCTTGAAGAAGGGTGGCCCAATTCAAAAGAACATGTCGAGGGATAGAGGTGAGAGGGTTGGCTTTCCGTTTGAGGGTGCCGCTTCTTGGGTTGCTCAACCGAGCCAAAATGAGAGGGACGGGTCCCTATTTTGAGACACAACTGGGCGCATTTGTGAGACCAGCCGGACCCGTTCTTCTTGGAAGTTTCAACGTTTTTCCCCGCTTTGTTGCAAGATCGCATTCGTGTTTCATCCCCTTTCTTGATGGTCCAAGTGCTCGAGGGCTTCTGGACTTGCATGGGTCCTTGTATAGGGTTGCTTCTCTGGCTTTGAACAGATGACCCCTCCAACCCGTGGAAATTT